GCAGAGAACTAGTTACCAAATTTCGAGTGAATTCCAGTTAGAGCTAATCCTTGTTTGATACAGTACTTCACGTCAAACCTCTTCAAAGGATGTAAAGTGCAGAGACTGTATTTTGTGGGTGAACGCAGCAGCCACTTTGCATGCAGCAATGTACTACAAACAACCATGAGGGATATGGGGAATTGTCAGGAACTCCCTTCTCTTTTTCAGCAGTATCACAAGGTCTTTAAATGTCCACATGAACAAGCACAGGCGAGGCCTTAGTTTAACGTCCCATTGAAGGACGGCACCTTGAATATTACAGTGCTTCCCTGGCATTGCGCTGGAGCATCAGCCTAGACTTTGAGTTCAAAGTCTCGATATAGGACTTGAACCCACAATCTTCTGACTCGGAGGCGGGAACGTTTCCAAACGAGCCAGACTGATGTCAACTATTTTGTATCGTCATAAATTTTAAGACAAAATGTCCCTGAGGTTGAGACTGGGTGGAGTTTGGGCTGGTTCTACAGCTGATTCCTAGGATGAGGAGATTCTGTACATATTGAAGCAACACAAAAGGTGTCACGTGAAGGGCACTATATTAGTGCAAGTTGTTGTTGGATAATTGTGTTTATACTGTTTTTGTTTAGCCTGATATCTGACTGGGGAAACCACCACCGTGGTTCAGAGTTTTGTTAGTTAGTGAGGTTAGACCTCCTCAGGCCATTTAACTGAATTAGACCGAAACGTTCCATGTAAGGAATGAGGGTTGTCCCTGCAGACAAGTCCCAATCCCCTCCCAACCTCTTCTTGGCCCCAAATTGTCAAAGCATAATGTGGACCACCTGAGCAAATCAGGTGACCAGATTGCCTCTCCAGTCATCATGGTTAAGAGATTCCAAACCAGACGAAGTATCACATATATACAAACTTATCCATGGAAATTCCTGTGTCTGGAATGGAACACGCACTAGGGATCCTGCATCCTGGGGGAATACGGCCTTCTTGCTTAATTTCAGAGAGTATTAGATGTAGGTTGGCTTGGGGACTCGAGAATGGGTTTGGTATAACTGCTGGAGTTAAACCAGCTACAACTGCACAGCTAGCCTTTGAGAGCACTACCTTTTGCTCACTTCCCCCACTGGAGCTCTAATCCCATCCCCTGCACTCTTCCTATCGTGTCTCCGCTTGTACTTGCTTCTCTCCCTGGAGCTCCCAACTCTTAATTCCATTCCCCTCCTCTTTTCCCCTTTAATGTTATTTTGCTCAAGCCTGTCCCATGAATTATTTGCCTTACCTGTGAGTGCTTTGGCCAGAGTTGGTTGTAGCTTGGGTCTGAAACAGCACATGTTGTGAGCCTCGGAAGTGTAGAAAGAATACAACAATATAAGGTAGATCAGCCAGATGTGATGCAAGGGGCTTCTCTGATCTTATACGCTTCTATGTTGCTAAAACTAAGAACATTGTGTGTGACAATCCAATAGAGGAGGTCATGATCAGGGTAAAACATTCGGTACATTTGGTCGAAGACTTTGCTGTGGAATCAATCATCAAAGAAGTAAAGTGACATACGTGGAAACCCCATCACTGTGATCAGCGGAATATCTGACACATGGGGGGGGGGGGGGAAGCATCACTGCCATCAGCTGGTATCTGACACACATGGAAACCCATCACCCTGTGTAAGATTATTTGACCACACAGTTCTAATGGCCCAGCTGCATTGAATTGCATAAATCATTCAGTGCTGTGGTTAAGAAAGCAGAGGACTTGGACCTTAAGCAGGGTTTGACAGAATCCATACAAATGATAAATAGCGAATAAATAGGGAGGTAGAAAGGGCTTTAAACTACTAAGGGTGGGGGAGGTAAAAACATAGTAAAGTATAGTCCACCACAGTTAAACTTGAGATCAACAAAAGCAAGAGAGCAGATTAACAAGGGAGAAGAGCAAAGTGTGTCAAGCAGGGAAAGGAAGTACAGTGATAGAGTGCTGGTGAATAGGGTTAATAGCCGGAAGTCAGAATTAAGGGCACTATATCTGAATGCACGAAGCATTCGTAACAAGATAGATGAATTAGTTGCACAAATAGAGACAAACCGGTATGATCTAGTAGCCATCACCGAGACATGGTTACAGGGTGATCAGGGATGGGAACTGAATATTCCCGGCTACGTGGTATATAGGAAAGATAGGCGATGTGGTAAACGAGGAGGGGGAGTGGCCCTGCTAATAAAGGATGGGATAAAAACAGTAGAGAGGAAAGATTTTAAATCTGAAAAGCAAGATGTAGAGTCAGTATGGGTAGAGATACGTAACTTCAAGGGGCAGAAAACTATAGTGGGAGTAGTTTATAGACCCCCAAACAGTGGTCAAAGTATCGCTCAAGGTATAAATCAAGAGATTAGTGGAGCATGTAGCAAAGGAAAGACACTAATTGTGGGTGATTTTAACCTGCACATAGACTGGGACAACCAAATTGGGAAAGGTAACATAGAAGAGGAGTTTATAGAATGTATTAGAGATAATTTTCTAGATCAATATGCTGAGGAGCCGACCAGGGAACAAGCCATATTAGACCTAATGAAACAGGGCTGATCAGCAAACTGGAACTTAAGGCTCCTCTAGGGCAAAGCGATCATAATATGATGGAATTTAGCGTTAAGTTAGAGAGGGAAGTAGTTAAGTCTGAAGCAAAAGTCTTCAATTTAAATCGAGCCAACTTTGCTGGTATGAGAGAGGATTTAGCCAGAATAAACTGGGAGACTAAACTTAAAGATTTGACAGTAGACCAGCAATGGCAGACATTCAAAGAGATAGTGCAAAATTCCCAACGAGCACATATTCCTTTGAGGAATAAGAATGCCATGGGTGGTGCAGCTATGGCTAACTAGAGCAGTTAGGGAAAATATCAAATCAAAAGAAAAAGCCTATAAAACAGCGAAGGTGAGTAGTAAACCTGAGGATTGGGAGAACTTTAGGGAACAACAGAGGAGGACCAAAAAATTGATCAAGAGGGAGAAAATAGATTACGAGGGCAAACTAGCAAAGAACATAAAAACAGACTCCAAGAGTTTTTACAAATATATAAAGAGGAAAAGGCTAGCGAGGGTGAATGTGGGTCCATTACAGGCAGAGACCGGAGGAATTATAATAGGGGACAAAGACATGGCAGAGTCATTAAACAAGTATTTTTCTACAGTCTTCACCGTAGAAGACACTGGAAACATACCAAAAATAGAGGACCAAGAAGACAATGTTAGCGAGCAACTTAGGGAGATTAACATTAGTAAAGAGATGGTTCTAGGTAAATTGTCGGGTCTTAAAACCGATAAATCCCCTGGACCGGATGGCCTGCATCCGAGAGTTTTAAAGGAGGTGGCTACTGAGATAGTGGATGGCATGTCTATAATCTTCCAAAAGTCTGTGGATACTGGAAAAGTTCCCATTGATTGGAAGATTGCAAACGTAACTCCACTATTTAAGAAGGGTGGGAGAGAAAATAGGGAAAACTATAGACCAGTTAGTTTGACGTCAGTTGTAGGGAAAATTCTTGAGTCCTTAATAAAAGACGTAGTTATGGGATACCTGGAAGACCATAAAAAGATTAGGCAGAGTCAACATGGCTTTACAAAAGGGAAGTCATGCTTGACTAACCTTTTAGAATTTTTTGAGGATGTATCCAGCAGGTTGGATAAGGGGGAACCAGTAGATGTGGTATATTTGGATTTTAGGAAGGCATTTGACAAGGTGCCACACAAAAGGCTGTTACTCAAGATCAAGGCCCACGGGATTAATGGGAAAATATTAACATGGATAGAAGAGTGGCTATCGGGTAGAAAGCAGAGAGTAGTGATAAACGGATCATTCTCGAATTGGCAGGATGTAACTAGTGGAGTGCCACAAGGATCAGTGCTTGGGCCTCAGCTATTTACCATTTACATCAATGATCTGGACGAGGACATTGAATGTAATGTGTCTAAATTCGCGGATGATACTAAACTAGGTAGCAGAGTGAGCTCTCAGGATGATGCAAAAAGATTGCAACAAGATATAGATAGGCTCGGGGAGTGGGCAAGTAGGTGGCAGATGGAATTCAATGTTAGCAAGTGTGAAATTATTCACCTTGGTAGCAAGAATAAAAGAACAGATTATTTTCTGGAAGGGGAGAAGTTAGATAGTGTTAGTATTCAAAGGGATTTGGGTGTCCTTGTACACCAGTCCCAAAAAGTTAGTTTGCAGGTGCAGCAAGCAACTAAGAAGGCGAACGGCATGTTAGCGTTCATTTCGAAAGGTTTAGAATATAAGAGTAGGGAAGTCTTGCTGCAACTGTATAGGGCTTTGGTGAGACCGCACCTAGAGTATTGTGTGCAGTTTTGGTCTCCTTATTTAAAAAAGGACATACTTGCCCTAGAGGGGGTGCAGCGTAGATTCACTCGGTTAGTTCCTGGGATGAGGGGACTGACCTATGAGGATAGGCTGAATAAACTAGGGCTGTATTCTCTAGAGTACAGAAGAATTAGGGAGAATCTTATTGAAACTTATAAGATTCTTAAAGGGCTGGATAAAGTACACACTGAGGGACTGTTTCCTCTGATAGAGAATCTATAACCAGGGGTCACAGTCTTAAAATTAAGGGTCAGCCTCTTAGAACAGAGTTGAGGAAACATTTCTTCACTCAGAGGGTAGTGAACTTATGGAATTCACTACCCCAGAAGGCTGTAGATGCTCAGTCCTTGAACATTTTCAAGGCTGAGACTGATAGATTCTTGAAAAATAGAGGGATTAGGGGATATGGGGATAGGGCAGGTAATCAGAGTTAGGTGAGAAGATCAGCCATGATCTTATTGAATGGCGCTGCAGGCACGAAGGGCCGAATGGCCTACTCCTGCTCCTAATTCTTATGTTCTTATGTTCTTATAAACCTCATAATCCCTTGCTCTTACCACTTCTGTATGCAACAAGTATCTTCTTAAATATGTTAAATACACACGTGTATATAGATGCACACACGCACAGAGTGCCCTGCAGTGATTTAACACAGTTTAATGTAAATCGAAGACAAGGTGTGATTACATTTTCTACACATATACAATATGCATATGTGAGTGTAGATTTTCTGCTTTAGAAGATGATGCACTTTGGAGACCAAAAAACCCCAAAACAGTGAATGACAAGCTAAACAGTTCAGCACAGCAGACTCCCTTTTCACCCTACACGTAGTAAGAACGATCAAAATAACTATATACTATATATTTTCCTTTAAAATTATCTTTAAATTTACAATGCTTCTAATATTAGTTTGAAGACCAGACTGTGTCGTCTCACTCATACCTCCTAACCCCTGAAACAGTGACGCCTGACAATACAATATAATTTCAGAGAAAACAAGTGAGGACTGGTTTTTAGACAAACTGCTTCAAACACTCTACAGTTCAGTGAAAGAGACATCCTTATAACTGTACCTACAGGGAGGGAGGAAAGGAGAGAGAGGGTGGCGGATGGATCAGAGAGGATGACATTGTATACTGTGCCTTTCCCTCAAATATTGAAATATGCACAGATCAAAAATGAAGCACAAAATACAATCCACAAAGATAAACGTGGAGGAACAGTGTGCACACACAAGAGCAACAGAGACCAGGGGGATATACCTTAGCCAGTGAAACGCAATCCAGAGTTCAGATAGGGTTTACAGAAGAGTGCTGATAATCTCCCGAGAGTGGCTGTGGGTTAGAGTGGCTCATTCCCTCCCCTACACCTCACGCTTCTTTCAAATTCTAGCGCTCAGCATCTCTAAGGTTTCCCCCTTGCTTCCAGGCAGTTGCTTCCAGGCAGTAGAAATTAATTTAGAATTTAGGGGAAGAATATTCATTTTTTTGAATATTCAAATGGTTTTTTGAATATTCAAATGTGCTACAGCCTCCTGCCACCTCTGCCAATAACTCACCATGCTCTCATCTTGCTCTCATTGCCGCTGCTACCCAACCATCTCCAGCACACATCCCCGGTGCTGCAACCCTGTTACTCTGCTCCAGTATCACAGCCCTGCTCCTCTGCTTCAGCACTACAGCCCTGTTACTCTGCTCCAGTACCACACCCCTGCTCCTCTGCTTCAGCACTACAGCCCTGCAACAACAAAAACAAATTACATTTGTATGATGCCTTTCACCTGAGTAGAACATGAACTCTACCTACAGACCTGCTTTTCTGCCCCAATCATACAAAGCTGTAACCGTGCCCAGCCGTGCACCCCCACAGCTCTGCCTAGTTGTGCACTCCTATAACTGCCCCAGAGCCTGGCATTCTGCCCTAATGGTGTATTTCCAAGTTATCAACTTTCAATTCTTTTTAAAATCCTCCCATGATGTGATTAGTATATATTATGGGAATTTGTGAGTTGGTGGAGGGAGCTAAATCTCTCTGGAACATGCTTGGAGACACAGAGTTGGAATCTGCTGGAAATCTAGCACTCAAAGTGCGCTCCTGAGGCACTGGCTGGTGGAGTTCTGGGATTGATATACAACCTGCTCTCTGTGCTTTGTCCACTGCACCTGATGCCACGGCTTCGAAAACTATCCTCCCAGATGTCCGACATGTTCATGACAAAAATAAGAAGCACATGGAAGACAAAAATCCATCCAGTGCATTGCTGGAGGGAGTGTTGCATTGTCAGAAATGCTGTACTTCAAATGAGATTCTAAACCCATGTCCCACTGTGCCTGTTCATGTGGATGTTAAAGATCCCACTGCACTATCTGAAAAAGAAGGGAGAGTCTCTACCAGTGTCCTGGCTGACAATCTCCACATAAAATTGGTCACTCATTTTGTGGGACTTTGCTGTGCACAAATTGGCTTCTGTGTTGGCCCAAATACATTCACTGAACAGTAAAATCTGATGAAGAAGCTTTGAGATGTCTCAGTGAAGTGATAAAGTGCATTATCAAATTTAAGAATCATTACTATTATCACTAATGGAAACCCTGATTTATCCCACCAAACAAAACCACTACAAAACAATCTCAAAATGTCAACGCTCACACAAAGCAGTGTACAAGAAAATGGACTGAGAAGTGACAAATCCTACTTTTTGACATATATTCATTACCCCTGGGTGCAGTTCCACTTAACTAACAGTCTCCTCTGTACAGAAATGTCAGCTCCAGTGTCTTGGGCAAGGGTTGAGATGCTCTTTTGTCTGCTTTGTACTCGCTGGCCACTCGCTAAGATTTGCCAGAAGAGAAAATGCAATGGAAGCATTTCAAGTCCCTCTCATTGTTAAATTGCATCGGGAATCCTTTCTGCTCCACAATAAGAAGAATCAGATTCCTTTTTGGAACAGTCCAACTTGGTGCATTAACAGCAAGGAAGTGAAAGACGTTTACGAAACAATGACAGACAGTTCAGTTCAGCATTAAGATCCTTCAAACTGCACTGACTTCTCCAATAAAGCACTTTCATTCATTTTACTCACCTCTCTCAAAGACACCAGCTCACTTCCTTTGTTTTTGGTCAGCTGGATGTCTGACACATACAGAAACCTATCACCGTGCTTAAGTCTCCAAGACTGAGAGTTCCACATGTGCATTCCACCTACATATGGGAATTTCCATATGTCTGGAATGGAATGCGCACTGTCTCCATTGAGTGACACATCCTGTTGACCCAGTGAATATTTGGTGCAGGTTGGTGAAGCCCAAGGCTTGGGGGACCACAGAGGGGATAAATACTGGTTTAACCAGCGAAAACCACACAGCTTGCCACAAAGAGCACTATGTGGTAAGTTTCTCACTCCTTATCCAGCTAGGAACATCTCGCCAGTTCCTGCTCCCCACCTTCGCAACAGCCTGTTCGGGGTCAGGAATGAGTGCACTTAATTTTTCGACATCCATGCACCAAAGTTTACACAGCCACAAGTTCCAAACAAACATAAGTGTTAAACATACAGCTTGATTTGCTTCTATGTTCAGAAGCAAACAGTATAGACAGTGTAAGTAACATCCTGGTTATCAGTAGATCATTTCCCCCCCTTCCAGGACTTAACAATTCTGAAAGTCTTTTGTTTGTTGTTTTTTTATAAATATATGAATTTACATACAGGACAGACATGGACTCATCTGAAGATTTAAATACATCAAATAGCAGCACTGCCGGTAACCGTTAGAAGATTAAGACATTTTCTCTTTAGGTTCAACAGTTTAAATCTAGTTACACATTGATAACCAAGTATATGTTCACAGTTATCTCCACCTGGCAGGAAAGCTTCACGTATATTGTCTGACAGTCAATGGCAGCAAAGGGAGCGACAGTCAAAGCAAACCTTGTTTCTTTGGTGACCATTGTTTGGATTATCCCCTTTCACACACACACACACAAATTCTTAACTACCGCCTGGTGTGGAGTGTGGAAGTCGTTTGGTTATGGGGGGGATGCGGAGGAACAGAACATGCAACCTGGGTGAAACAAATTTGGTCATGTGGAAACCTATCACCGTGTCTAAGAGGCCAAACCAGACTGAAAGTTCCACAAATGTATTTCACCAATACAAAGAAATTCCAGTGTTTGAAATGGAGGGACGCACTCTGCTTATTCAGACAGTATTAGGGGCAGTTTGGTGTTCCCAAAGTTTGGGATAACTGATGAATTTTAATCAGCTAAAACCATACAGCTTGCCATTGAGAGCATTATAATTGCCAAGCTTCTTGCTGCTTGTCCAGCTATGACAATCCAAACCATTTGGGGCTCTGGCTTGCAAATGTGAATATTCCCTGCTCTCCATTGGCACTGTGCACATCAAATAATCAGTCCCATAGAAATATTAATAATATAATAATCCTTCAATTTGATATCGTGCCTTATCACATCTTCGAGACGTCTCAAAGCGCTTCACAGAATTACAATAAATTGAATTGACTGTATATTTTGTGGGCGAAACGCGGCAGTCGAGCAGAGCAGTGCACCACAAACAGTCGTGGATTGAGTGACCCAATTATTATTTTATTTTATTTGAAGGGATTATTACCTCTGGAAAAGCGATCTGCCAATCAACTAACAACCTACTTACTGCTAGGTGAATAGAGGTGTGTGGAGTAAGGAAACGTGCCCTGCTAGGAATTGAACCCAGGTCCTGTTACTTGCTACAGGACTCTAAATGTTTAAATACAATGAGCAGATCAGGGTAGAGGAAGTGCAGCTCCCTCTAATAGTAAAAAAAAAGGTGACGATCACTGGAGAAGGGGGGAGTAGAGAGAAAAATGCTATTGTAAAAACTGGCTGAAGTGTCACTTCTGATCTGAACATCATGATGAGCACTGACCTGCAGTTCCCCATATTAATCACTAGTTGAGTTACACTGCAATGCAACAGGCTTCCCTCTCTCTCAAATGGATTTTTAAAAAAATATTGCAAGCAATTATTTTGAATTATAGATAAAACAAATCCCCTGCCCCCTCTTTTCTCACGTCGCTGACCTGAAATTTTATACCTCTTGTTTTTCTCTTGGACATAACAAAGAGCCCAGTTTGCCTTTTTGTGTTGAAATCAGGTATTGACCACGTTAACCACAAGATGGCAGTCACACTGTGGTGCACTGCAATTCCATAGGCATCCCCACCCACTCATCCCTTCTGCAATTCCAATGGTGCCACCTGGCTTCTGTGGTTGCTGAGCGTTAGATTTTAAACTGCAGCACATGGAGACTATGTTTCCCTCCCTGCCCTTGGCCTTCACACAAATCGGAGTTGGGTTCAATTGCATTTGCAAACTGAATCCGGCACTGATGCCCAGTCCATCCGAAGCCCCTTTGCCTTATGGCGCTCCACTTAGTAAAAAGGGAGTTGGGGACGATGAACCTTGTGATGTTGCCCCTATGATCTGTGTGCTTGACTGTGAATTATTCCTCCGAAGAGCTTCATCATAAACCATGAGCAGGAGCAAATAACCCAGCTGTGGGAGAGTCGTTTGAAAACCGATCTCTCTTCAGACACACGTGCTATCTCCCTGACAACTCTCTGTTAAATCTCTCCACCTCTACTCAGCTAACTCGAGTCTGCTGCTGCATAACTACCCTCGACGCTACACCATGTGTGGCCGAGGCTTGTCTGGAACTTCTTCCTCTATCCCTCCATCTTGATCCCCTCTTTATCTGTCTTTAAATCCCACCGATAAACCATCTCTTCGCCTCTGCCTGTGGTCACCTGCTACCGCTCCCTTGCTCATCTTTGTGAAGCTCTCCGAGGCATTATCCTTCATGAAGTGCACTGTATAAACCTAAGCTGTTGGTGTCATACAGTCTCTGCTTTTTCCTGCCAGTTGTTGCTGCCCTGTGAGGAGGGAGCAATGCCACTGAATACCACCTTGATCTGTCAGAAGCGTGAAGCCATCCTAACCCTTCCTGTAAGTCTGTAAGGCACTACAAAGGGAAAATGTTAAACTAAGCCTATAACAAGGAGCTCTGTGTTGAGACCACACAAGGCAACATCAACACAAGTGCTATACACACACACACACACCATGGCAGTCACATCTCACATGCCTGAAGAGTAAAAGTAGGTTGAAATCACCATTGTGCAATCACAAGAGGAATATCTATTGGTATATCATCGAATAAGGTTGCCTTAACACCCGTCCACGTTCCACACATATGGCTCCCCCTCTCTCCCGGCAACCTGCATCGCTGTTGCTTGCAGAGAGGAAAGGAAGATGTGTTCTTGAGGAACGAGAAACTAAACAAAGTCTGGGGTTTCTCCAAAGTTAAAAATAAAGTCGACTGTTTACAGTACGTTCACTGAACTTCATCAAAAAATCTTTGACAAAATTCTCAGCACAGCTTTCTGTGGATCATACAGCTGCGAGTCTTCAAAATATTTCGAGGGATTCGACTATTGCATACAGTCCTTCGTTGCACTCCACTCCTGACAAGTCTCTCCGATTTTGGTGCAGTTCTCCCGATTTGCTCTTTTTCATGTTTCACAATCTTTTTCTCGTTCACTATAAAAAGCACACGTAAAACAAAAGGTGTTTTACGAGTTGGGAAGTGAATCTTCCACAGGGCTCTGCTGCTGTGTCAGGTACCTGTCAGAGACAGGGCTCTGGACTGCCACGTCTGAACCATTCCCCCTGCTGACCTCCAGGCTTCTAAATGTAGGGGTACTGGTTCACCTTGGGGCTCAGTGGGTAGCTGGTGTAGACAGCTGAAGCTGGGGAAGCATTGATGTACGTCTGATGAGCAAACTGTGCTGGGTACTGGCTGGGGTGGATGGTGGGGGATGGCAGGACCCTGGGGCCCATGCTGACTGGCACTTGGTGGACGATGCCTCCGGGATGAGTGGTGTATGCCGTGTGCCTTGCGGAGCCCTGAGGAGCCACGAGGTGAGCGACGGTACCGTTGGGAGCCAGGGCAGCGGGTGTGGTGTAGGTGTACAGGTGAGGCTGGCCAGGGAGGTGGGCGGCAGCTGCCGCCAGGTGTGGATGCACAGCTGTATGAGAGGGGCTGTTGTGGGGGAAGGAGTAGGGGGCCTGGGCGATGGTGGGCGTGATGTAGGCTTGTTGCCGCCGGTGGCCGTGGCTACTGTTCCGCTCCTGGATTGTGGTGACGTGCTGCGGAGCCTGAAAGACAAGAGAGCAACAAAGTAATACCTCCCAGTCACTCACACAGCAACATAGTAATACACAGCGACATACTACATGCAGTAAAACAGTAACGCACAGCAACACAGTAAAACACAGCGACACACGCAACACAGTAACACATAGTAAAACAGTAACACATAGCCACACAGTAAAACAGTAACAGCAACACAGTAACACATAGCAACACAGTAACACCCAGTGACACAGTAAAACAGTAACATAGCGACACAGTAACACACAGCAAAACAGTGATACACAGTAACACAGACACAATAACACACCAGACACAGTAACACCTCCCAGTCACTCCCACACTCACGATTTGCAGGTGAGCTGATAAAAAAGTACAGATCACAAAATGACAATAGTTTGAATTTAGAAGGCCCTTTGGACTAACTAGCCTCAACCCTCCAGAATACCCAATGTACCATGCCCTCATCACAGCATTGAGCTGATTTTTAAATGAGTCTCGGGTCCTGGCCTCAACCACTGTTCAATCTGTTCTGGATCAAGACAAGCTTCCTGGTGTCTGTCCTGAAATTGTCCTTTACAACTCTAAACCTATGTCCTCTTCTACTGCCTTGGTGCTTTCTTAAAATGTTCTCCACCTCTATGAGGTCTCCTATGGTGTGCTGGATGTGGACACGTGGTCTCTTTATTAACAATAAGGACATGAATGATCCAATTATCAGACAAGTGTCAAAAGAGTGAGTAAGTGCTGTGAGCAGTTGTGTGAGGTGAATGCCCTGGAATGAAGAACATTCCCTTCTCCTAGCATGCAGTGACCTGCAGGCCCTGCTCTGTGTACCTGGCTGAGGTTGAGGGGCTGTTGTTGGAAGGAGTGAGTGGCGGTCCGCAGCTGCCGGTACGAAGCTGCTCCCGAGTAACTCCCTGTGGAGTGGCCCGCTCCTGATGTGGCTGAGCTGGAGGTTTTGGTCTTGAACCCGGAAAAATGGTGACTCAGTGTGTCTGGAAAGCAGAGACAAGTTAATGGCAAGTGAGACAAAAATAACTTTCACGTCAGGGGGGCATCTCAAAGCACTTCATGGGATTTACTGTAAAGGGTACTGATTGCATTTTGTAGACAAATACGGCAGCTGGTGGCCCACAGCAAAGTCCCACAAATAGACCTAAAGGAAGTGACCAATTTTACCTAGAGGATTTATCTAGGATACTGAGAAACTTCCATCACTTTTCCACTAGTGCCTTAGATCTTTAACAGGATCGTTAACTTTCAAATGAACAGGCAGAGACAGGACCTTGGTTTAACATCTCATCCAAAGCATAGCAATGCAGTGCTGCCCCAGTATTTTGTTGAAGTGTCAGCCTGGAGGATGGTTGAGACATCGAAAATCATTGCAAATAACAGTTAGAACTATAACAAACCTCTAGTGAGTTACAAACCCTGAGTCTGGGTCTGAGTCTTATCTGGTGCCACCTGGAATAGCAGAGACCAGTAACGATCACCTGTATTTATATAGCGCTCTCCACGCCAAGAGGCATCCCGGAGTGCTTAACAATGGCGGAGCCCGATGCTGAGCCAGGGGGAGGGGAAAGGTGACCATAGGCACGGTTGAAGAGGAAGGTCTTCAGGCACAACCTGAAAATGGGGAAAGAGGGGGAAAGGCTGAGGGATTGAGGAAGGAGTTCCATAGCTTCAGATGAGTTGAATTTTGTGAATGGAGGAGGGGAGACCGGCGAGGAGAGGATTTGAATAGTCCAGCCGAGAGGTGACAAAGGCGTGGACAAGAGTTTCGGCAGTTTGTGGAGTGAGGTATTGTCGAATCGGACAATGTGCCAGAGGTAAAGGAAAGCAATCCTGGTCAGGGACCGGATGTAGGGGAGGAAGAATAACTGGGGATCAAACCCAACGCCTAAATTGCGCACAGGTTCAGAGGGTTTTAAGGACAGAGCAGGTAGGTTGAGGAGGTTGGAACCGCAGGACAGAAGATGTTGAAGGGAGCCGAAGAGTATTGCTTCCGTCTTTTTGAGGTTTAACTGCAAGAAAGTTGTGCTCACCCAGGCGTTGATGTCTATCAGACAAGCTGACAGAACATCGAAGGACTAGGGGTCATAGCTGGAGGAGAAATAGAGTTATGTATCATCTGTATACAAGTGGAAGTTAACCTCGCGTTTGCGGCTGACATTATTGAGAGGGAGCATATAGATGAAGAATAGAAGGGGGCCAAGCATGGAGAGCCTTGGGGTACCCCGCAGGTGTCCGGGCGGGGGCGAAAAGAAAAATCATTTGTGGAAATGTAGTGCTGCCAGTTTGTAAGGTAGGACTCGAACCAAGCGAGTACGGTCCCATGAGGTAGATGATTGTGAAGTGGTGGAGGAGGATGGTGTGATCGACTGTGTCGAATGCGGAAGAGAGGTCCAGGAGGACGAGGAGGCAGAGAGAGTGATCACAGATAGAGATGACATCGTTTGTGACTTTCACAAGCACTGTCTTTGTATTGTGGGCAGGGCGGAAACCGGACTGGAGAGGTTCGAGTATGAAGGGGAGAGGTGTGCGCAAAGTTGGTTGGCAACAATGCATTCCAAAGCTTTGGCCAGGAAGGGCAGGTTTGAGATAGGGCAGTAGTGTCCGAGGTTGGGGGGATTGAGGGTAGGTTTTTCAAGGAGGGGTTTGATGAGGTTGGCTTTGAGGGGGAGTGCGACTGATCCTGAGGAGAGGGACTGATTAATGGTGTCTGCCAGCAGTGGGCAGAAGATGCAGATCTGGGTGGGGAGGGGGTTGAGGTATCAGGTGATGGGTTTCATTGCGGTGACAGAGGATGAGAGGGAGGAAGGAAAGATGGGGGCAAAGGAGTGTAGGATGGAGGCTGTGGTAGGAACCGGAGGGGGCGTGGGTGAAGGCGACAGAATGGGGCTGGTAGGGGACGTGGGGCAAGAGATTGAGGCTTCCAGGCGGATATTTTCTATTTTAGAGATAAGGAACTCCATGACCTCTTCACCCTTGGTGTTTGATGTAATGATTGATAGTGCTTGAGGGGGCGCATGGAGGAGGTGGTGGTTGGTGAAGAATAGGATTTTGGCGCTATCTTTGGCCTCCAGAATGATATTTGAATAGTGTGCAGTTTTTTCTTGCGAGAGGGAGCAAAGGTAGGTGTGAAGGTCCTTGAGCCACAGCTGGCAGTGAACCGTGAGGCTGGTTTTCTGCCATCTGCGCTTGAGCAACCAGGTTTGTGATTTTAGAGTGGAGATGGCTGTTGTACCAGGGGAGTGGGTGAGTTTGGAGACGGTCCTGGATTTCAAGCAGACAAGGGAGTTGATTGTGGAGGAGAGGCGATTGTGGAGCAGTTTGATGGCAGCAGGTGGAAGTCCAAAGGGAGAGAAGGATGAGAGGGCATTTGTGAGGGTCTCGGGGAGGAAGCCTTTTCCATGGGCGAAAATGGATGATGGAGGGCTTGTTGGAGGGGAGAGTGATGCAAGAGAGGGAGATGAGGTTGGCCTGGTCTCTGATGGACAGACCGGAGATATCTAAGCCATTGGTGATAACCAGGTCTAAGGAGTGGCCACGGTTATGGGTCTGGGAGTTTATATGGAGGGTGAGAATAGGGTGGAGAGGAGTGCAGTGAAGTCAAAGGAAGTTGGGGCAGGAGGAGTTGAGATGCAGGTTGAAATTGCCTATGATGAGCAGACGTTCAGTGCAGAGGGACAGGGATGAGAGGATAGAGATGCCCGTGAGGGAGGAACCAGGAGGTTTGGGGGGGACCGTAATGCAAGGAGGATTTTGAAGGAAAGAGAGGAGGGGTGGTAGAGGGTGAGCTGCTCAAAAGAGGGGAAAGAGTCAGCGGAATGGGGGAATAGGGTAAGGGAGGTTTGGGATATGAGGGCCTCAACACTGTGACGATTGGGACGGGGATTGTGGTGGATTGTGTAGGGGGGGGAAGTGGGGGTGGGTGCTTTGATTGGGGGAGGGTTCACCAGAGGACAGCCAGGTTTCTGAGCCCTAGGACATCAATATGCTCATCCAGGATGAGATTGTGAATGGTGAGCGCTTTGTTTGAGAGGGAGCAGATGTTTTGGAGGGCAATGCAGGTGGGAGCTCTGATGGAATTGGATGCTGGGGGAAGGGTTGGGGTGGTTGCAGATTGTGGGGGGAGAGAGACTGTGGAGTTTGAGGTTGGAGGAGAATTTTGAAGGGTACGGATGTGGATGAAGGAAAGGTTTCCCTATGCATGCGGGGGAGGGTCTTGCGTAATGAGTGGGCGATGGGGCAGTCAGGGTGACTGCTCTGGGACAACCAACAATGCGTGCCGCGATGAGCATGGCGGAGGATACCCAGGCTGGGCAGAGGGATTCAGTGGACGAGTCCAGAAGAGAGAGAAGGTGAGGAGGACGATAGAAGAGGATGGAGGTCACGTAGCGAGTTGTGGAGAGTAGAGTGGGGCGGGTGATGGGGGGAGTGGCAGCCAGAATGTGCATGCCTGGACCTGTGCAGGAGGCTTGAGATAGCAGAGGGGATTGGATTAACTAGATCAACCACTGCTGTGGGTCCATATGTAACGGGCAGCGTGTCCTGTAGACAGGCATGTGCGGTGGGCTTGTTATGCACAGCATGATCTGTAGAAGCAATGTGTATATATATATGTGTGTGTGTGTGTGTGTGTGGAGAGAAGGGAAGTGTATCCTGTAGCTAGAGAAGAGGGGTGAATATATGTGAGATAAAGGGTATGTGGCACATGTGGGTGCTCATGCACGTGTGTAACAAGGTAGTATACCTTGTAGCCACAGAATAATAATAATAACAATAATAATAATCCTTGCATTTGATATTGCACTTTTACATCTTCTAGACGTCTCAAGGCGCTTCACAGAACATACTGTAAAGTGAATTGACCGTATATTTTGTGGGCGAATAGGGGTAAATATGTGTGTGGTGTTGAGTGCAGGGTGTGTGGCGTCTATGTGTGCGTGCGATAGGCAGCGGGTCCTATGACAGTGAAGAGAGATGTAATGTACATGTGCACAATGTGGAGGTACATTGGTTCTGTGTGAAGCAGGTGGGGCAGGTGAGGGAGAATGCAGGTTAATCGCAATGCTCTCCCATTCCCAAAGCGCGACACCTGGAACGGAGACTTTGGTCAGCCAGAATTTACCTGTGGTATGCCGGATGCACTCAGCCACATTGTCGCTTGTCTGAATCTTCAGTGGGGGAACAATGATGGTTCGAGGTTTGCCACTGTAATGACTGTCCGAGTGGCCTTTGCTGGAGGTGTAGGTGGTGGCACTGGGGGCAGCCGGACGAGGCTGCACGGCATATGGACTGTGGCTACTGGATGTGTCCGAGTCTGGAGAATCGTGAACAGTCACACAGCTGATAACGTTCTTCCTCTGCTTCAAAACTCTGCCGGGAGAGAAAGGGTGTCAAAAATACAATACAAAATTACATGTGTAAAGCGCCGAACAATCAGGGATTAGGACCCAAATGGGGAGTGGGGTTGGGATCAGGGAGGATGGGGGGTGGTGCGTAACTGAAGGCACGGTCGAAGGCGCAGTCAAAGAGGATGGTCTTCAGACGTGCCTTGAAGGAGGCAAGGGAGGAAGTGAGGCGAAGGGAATGTGGGATGGAGTTCCAGAGGGTGGGGACAGAGAGGCTGAAGACCCGACTGCCAATGTGCAGGAGCAAACTTGAGCCTGCTCAGCAGAGGAAGCAGACAGTTTGATAAGGGGTTAACAGGTTGGAGAGGTAAGAACATCAGTGGTCCTGGAGTCGAGAGTGGAGGCAGACAAATAGAATAGGGTGTCATCCGCGTATATGTGGAAGTTGACCCCATGTCTACGGATAATGTCACCAAGAGGAAGCATTTACAGGTTGAAGAGGAGGGGACTGAGGACAGAGCCCTGAGGAAGGTGACAGTGCGGGGACTGGAGGAGAAGTCATTTTGGGAGACAAAGTGTAGACCTTGTGAGAGATAGGATCTGACCCATTCAAGGACAGAACTAGAAGGTTAAAGTGCGAGGTGAGGTGGAGGAGGATAGAGTGGTCCACAGTGTCAAAGGCAGCAGAGAGGTCGAGGAAGACAGAGCGAGCCCTGGTCACTGATGGACAGAATGTCATTTGTCACCTTGACCAGCGGCAAGCACGGAAACCCGATTGAAAGGGTTTGTGAAGGGAATGGCGGCAGAGGAAGCAGCGAAGCACCAATTGACTAACAACCAGATTCCAACTTACTGCTAGGTAAACAGAGGTGTGTGGAGTAAGGAAACTTCCCTAAGGCTTCACCCCGCCGGGGAATCGAACCCGGGTCCTCTCGCTTATGAGGCGAGTGCCAAACCACTACATTACGGGACTACACTAATAATAAACCTTGCATTTGGTATAATGCCTTTGAAATTAAGAGGACGTCTCAAAATGGATACTCTGTGAAGTGTGGTAACTGTGTATTTTGTGGGTGAATGTGGCAGCCAATGTCCAGAGAGGTGCCCATTGAGTTACCCAGTGCCCAGAGAGATACCCAGAGCCCAGAGAGATACCCAGAGCCCAGAGAGATACCCAGAGAGAAGCCAGTGTCCAGAGAGATACCCAGTGCCCAGCGAGATACCCAGAGAAATACCCAGAACCCAGAGAAATACACAGAGACATACCCAGTATCCAGAGAGATACCTAGTGTCCAGAAAGATACCCAGTGCCCGGAGAGATACCCAGTAAGATACCTAGTGCCCAGAGAGATACCCAGTGTCCAGAGAAATACCCAGAGAGATACCCAGTGTCCAGAGAGATACCTAGTACCCAGAGAGATACAGAGACATAACCAGTGCCCAGAGAGATACCCAAAGATACCCTGTGCCCAGAGAGGTTCCCAGAGAGATACCCAGTGCCCAGAGAGATACCCAGTGCCCAGAGAGATACCCAATGCCTAGAGAGATACCCAGAGAGATACCCAGTGCCCAGAGGGATACCCAGAGAGCTACCCAGTGTCGGAGAGATACCCAGAGAGTTACCCAATGCCCAGAGGGATACCCAGAGAGCTACCCAGTGTCGGAGAGATACCCAGAGAGATACCCAGTGCCCAGAGATACCCAGTGCCCAGAGAGATACCCAGACAGTTACAGTATCCAGAGAGATACCCAGTGTCCAGAGAGAGATACCCAGTAACCAGAGAGGTGCCAAGTGAGATATCCAGAGATACCCAGTGCCCAGATAGGTGCCCAGTGAGATATCCAGAGAGATATCCAGTGCCCAGATAGGTGCCGAGTGAGTTATCCAGAGAAATACCCAGAGAGATGCTTAGTGCTCAGAGAGATTCCTAGAGATCAGCTCACCTGCTGGGGACTTGCTTGGGTTGTTCCTCCTCATCTGTGTCACTGCTGATGGTAATGACACTGACCGCTGGACTGGGAGTGTCAGGGATGACAATGGTCTGTCTCTGGGGATCCCGGCTTGTGCTGGTCGTCTCCCCCCAGCCACAGGTCAAGGTACTGCAGGCCGGGCTGTTGCGGACCACAGCACACCGGGGCGGTGTGTTCCCCTTCACCCGCTTCGAGCGCTGTGGGGAGTGCAAGTGGGTGCTCTGAGAGGAGATCTCATGGGTAGAAATATTCCTGTGGAAAAAGAGCACAGAAGAAATAATCCAGGTGCCGTTAATAATAATAAGCCTTAAATCTGATATTGTGCCTTATCAAAGCGCTTCATAGGATTTATTAAAAATAAAACAATGATCCTTGCATTTGATATAGCCCTTTTCATCTTCTAGACGTCTTAAAGTGCTTCACAGAATAGACTGTAAAGTGAATTAACTGTATATTAGTGGGCGAAATGCGGCAGCCAAATTGCGCACAGCAATGTCCCACAAACAGTCGTGGATTGAAGTGACCAATTTATTATTTTTTTTTTCTTGAGGGATTATTTACTATTTACTATGAAGTACCGTGTTGGTGGTTTGTAGATGAAGCCAATTTGTACATTGCAACGTCCCCCAGGGAGGCAAGTTGAATGACCGATTTTATCTGATTTTAGAAGAAAGAGAGAACAAAGGTGCATTTTTATATATTCTCCGTTTCAAAGCAATTCACACCAATTGCTATTGATATTCTTGTCAAAAGAAAGCGGGCGCAGGTATTTTCTAATTTTCTCCACATTAGCACACGCCTCTGCTCCTAGGTTTACTTTTTTAATCCCATTTAATATCCTATACTTCTCTATAAGGTCCCCTCTGAGATATCTTCTCTCAAGAGGAAGACCCAAGCTTCTCTAATTGTTGCTCACACCCCATTCCTCTAACAATGAGTATCCTCCTCGTTGCTCTCCTCTGCTACTGCCTCCAGGATGTTGGCAGTTCCAAAATGTCATGGGGGCCAGAAGTATATAGAATACTCTCAGAGCGATCTGCCAGAGCATTTTGCAATCACAAACATTGATAAACACTGCACTGTAAGTATCACTAAGTTACTGTTAGCTGTACACACTGGGAAAGGGCGTATCAATTTGAATAAGTTTATGTTTCAAGTCACGTGCCTTCATCAAAGGTTCAGGCGTTCACAGATAAATCTGGACTTTGAGCTGACCAGTGCTGGGGGAGCACTGCATATCAGAGGAACACAGTGGGGACACAGCACAGTGGGGACACAGCACAGTGGGGACACAGCACAGTGAGACCACAGCACAGTGAGACCACAGCACAGTGAGACCATGGTGCAGTGAGGACACAGCACAGTGAGACCACGGCACAGTGAGGGCACAGCACAGTGGGGGCACAGCACAGTGGAGACACAGCACAGTGAGACCACGGCACAGTGGGGGGCACAGCACAGTGGGGACACAGCACAGTGGGGAACACAGCACTATAGGGAACACAGCACAGTGGGGACACTACTATAGGGAACACAGCCTAGGGGAGGAGGAATACAGGACAGCGGGAAACACAGATTGGCAAATTCTTCCCTTCTGTTCTGTGTGTGCAGCAGACACGAGCATCTGGAAAGAGTTACTCACACAGAATCCCCTAATACTTCAACATATACTGCACTCTGTGCAGCAGGATCTCCACCAATACTTGCCAACATCCAAACGGCTGACATCCTGCAAACTTGAATTGTAAGGCTCACGGCCTCACATCAAATGAGTAAATGGTTTTACTCTGAGAGTGTGTCCCATTTTCCTATATATTGTAGTTATTATAATAATAAGAATGCCTTTCACATCAGAACATCTCAAAGCACTTCACAGAATTTACTGTAAAATTTAGGGACTGTGATTAAAGATGGGCATGAGAGCCACAGTAATGTCCCACAAGCAGCCGGGCACTGGGTGACAATCCTTTGTATGAAAACTGCACCATGGAATCTTTAACATCCGTCTGAGAGGCAGACGGGACCTCGGTTGTAACGTCTCACCCCGATAATGCAGTGATTTCCCCAGCACTGCATTATAGGGGATGGGGGTGGGGGGTTGACCCACCTGGAGGAATGCTGCTGTCTGTTCTTCTTCGACGAGGAGCTTGCAGTTGGCTGCTGCCTCATGACGTGAGCGACACCAACATTCAATGGCTGGGCGGATGGCAGGGTTACATGACTTGCCAAGAGGGCCGGCTGTTGCATGATGGTACTGTAATGGCTGCTGTGCGGATGTGGGTTCCTGTGTCAGACGCAGAAGGTTAACAATAGGGCGACAATTTAAGATACAACAACAACAACATTTATTTTGCATTTATATTTATATTCACGCAGGGCAGAGTCCCAGAGCACTTCAAGATAGTTAGTAAACAAGCAAATGGTTAGGAGAAATGTTTTCACACAGAGTAGTTTCGATATGGAATGCCCTCCTGGGAGTGGTCATTGAGGCTAAATCCATATTGGCCTTCAAGAGGGAACCATATATACATCTTAAAAAGTGTCAGCTACTGGGGATGGAAAAAGGACAGGTAAATGAGACTGAAATGAAGGAGACTCTAGGAGGAGTCAGCACAGATATGATGGGCTGAATGGTCTTCTATGACATATCATCTTATCATGTCAAAGCACTTCACAGGATTTAGTGACTGTGTTGTAAGTGAAAACTACAGCCAATTTGTGCACAGAAATATCCAACAAACAGCCATGAAGTGAATGACTGATTTTATCTGGAGGATTGTCAGCCAAGACACTGGGAGAAACACCTTTCTTCCCATGGTGACGCAGGATCACTGACATCCATCATTTGAAGGACAGTGCCTCCAATTGCACAGCTCACCACCAGCGTTGCAATGGAGTGTCACTCAAACTGTGAGTTTAAAGTTACGTCGTGGGGCTTGAACCCACAACCTTCTGACTCAGGGGCGAGAGTGTTACTGACTGAGCCAGACTGACATGGTCAGAGGGAATAAGTTGCAGTGATGGTGCAGGCCAACATCTGATCCGCAGAACTCACTGGGAATGCTCTTTACATTTCAAAATGTATGTTATCCCAGTCAAATGCTCGCTTTAATAACTCACTTATTAAGTACCCGCTAATGTGCATTCATACTAACCGGTCACTAGGATATTATCATTGATAATGTTAAAATTGTGTGCGTTTTTGTTGTTGATAATGCTGCTCCCTGATAATAGTTTTGTTCACATCACATTAAGACCCGCATCTCAAAGCGTTTTACAAAGACAAAATCATTTCCCAAGCAGGGAAGAGGAGGAGGGGTAATGACCGCAGCCATTATCAAAGAGGTAATAATAATAATAATAATAATCCTTGCATTTGATATAGCGCTTTTCACGTCGGGAGGACATCCCAAAGCACTTCACAGAACACTCTGTAAAGTGAATTTACTGTATATTTGTGGGCGAATGCGGCAGCCAATTGAGCACAGCAATGTCCCTCAAACAGTCGTAGATTGAAAATGACCAATTTATTATTGTTTTTGGTTTTGGAGGGATTATTATTAGGCGTGTGGAGTAAGGAAACTTGCCCAAAGTTTCGCTCTGCCTGGAATTGAACTCAGGTCTCGCTTGCAAAGCGAGTGCTCTAACCACTGAGCTACAGGACTCCACAAAGATAGGATTTAAGGTAGGATTTCAAGACAAACAGAGGAATGGGGTGAGATGGAGGAGTAGAGGGAGGCATTTACATGTAGTGACTAAATTAGCTATTACAGTGAGTGTACGCTTAGTGAGAGATGGAGCCATTGATTAACGAATAAAGTCAGTGATGGAGAGTGACAATAAGTAACAGATAGTGAGTGACAGAGAGAGTGAATACAGACAGTGAGTGACAGAAACAGTGAGTGACAGACAGTGAGTGATGGAGCCAATGAATGATGGAGACAGTGAGTGATGGAGACAGAGAGTGATGGAGACAGTGACAGACAATGAGTGATAGAGACACTGAGTAACAGAGACCGTAAGTGAGAGATTGACTGTTGGAGACAGTGAGTGACGGAGACAGTGAGTGACAAGAGACAGTGAGTGACAGAGACAGTGAGTGACAGTGACACTGAATAACGGAAACAGAATAGGTGAAAGACTGATAAACCGAGAGGAAGTGACAGGCACTAATTTTGATGATTTGATGCTTTGTTGAAATTACATTTTTTGCCAGTTTGCTGATCTAATACAAGGCAATAACACCAACATATTGACTGATGCAAGGTGTGTCGATAATACAAGACTATCTCCTATCCTCACACATGATTAATTAAAGCTTTTGGTTTCTGTACCTCTCTGATCTGTGCTGGGCTGAAGATAGAATGAGCACACAGGTGAGCCTACCTCCAGTCTGCCAGTTGCTGTGTCCTCGTCATTGACTCGGGCAAGACAGTGGCATGTTGCACTGAGGTGTGAGCTGCCACCCCAGTTAGCTGCTGCCAGGCTGGGGGTAATAGAATCTGCTGGGTACCCCCAGGCCAGGCCTGCTGTCAAAAAAGAAGCAGAAAACAACGAGTAGTGATGGGAAGTGCAGCTCTCTTCCCCGTCTTGAGCAATTTCTCTCCAGAAGAAAATAGGTTTCACATCTTGGCAGAGGAAATAAAATTATTATAATAATAATCCTTTCTATTGGTACAGCACCTTATCAAATCGCCAAGCACTTCACAGGATTTTACTGTGAAGTGCAGTGTCTTGTGTATTTTGTAGATGAACCCAGCAGCTAATTTACACATAGCAATGCTCCTACAAACAGGCAAATAAAACTGCACAGCTTGCCATAAAGAGTAGTGTCTGGCAAGCTTCCCACTGTTTGTCCAGCTGATTCATGAGGGCTTTGGTTTGCAGGGTTAAAAGAGCTGAGAGGGAAGAGTCCCTGTCGCAGTCTGCTTTCAATTCCTACCATTGAGCCACGTTGACTGAGCTGCCATCAGCAGCATCAAGGCATGTGCATACTGTATATCAGGCAATTTAGAACGGGCAACAGCCAATGTGAACCAGAAATGTTCCCCCAGACAGGGAGACCAGCAATCACGTTAACTGTAACCCATGATGTGCTCCACCCACAGAGCAGTGAGGCGAATTGCAAGTACCTGTGTAAGAAGGCCAGGCTGGATTTGAAGTGACTGCGCTCCAGGGGCCTGAGTGACGATGGGTACGGCATTCTCCACCCTGAGCGAGTATCCTGCGTGCTTGGTAGGAGAGGCCTGCAAACCTGCCACATCAAGAGAACAATAAGAACAATTTGTGCATTTGACATAATGTCTTATGCTGTTGAGATGTGACAAAGCACTTCACAGGATATACAATACAACAAAGTCTACATTTCTACAACACCTTTGTCAGGATGATGTATCAGGGCTCTTAACAATAACCAGAACATTCTGATCCAAGAGGCGAAAGCGCTGCCGACTTAGCGTGACCAGCGCACAATGTATGAGAGCGAATCCGAGACACGTGACATACGAAAACATGTCTTGAGAAAGGTTACACCTTGCAGGGTTCAAGGGTCAAACGGATGCGTGCCACTGGTTCATTGGCGGGTGTGTGACGTGAGCTCATTCCTGAAGGCTAAAGTAAAATAAAACTTCCTTTTTTGGTGGGGGAGGAGAAGGACATTTTTTTTTAAATTTCTATCTCTTATCACACAACAAAAAATGGACTTCAAAGATCTGACAGCAACACATGCTGTTAAGAGAATGTTGTAGCATCCAAAAGAAGGAATAAGAGTTATATCTTACCTTGAAACCCTGGTGGGCAGACGATAAGGGCTTGTTGGAAAGGATCAGGTCGTGCGCAAAGCTGAGGGGCAGTGGTCTGCAGGGGCATTCCCCTCCCCGTGACAGCTGCCATGGACGCTGCTGCAGGCTGGTAGAGTCCAGACTGGTAGTTGAGTAAAGAGACCTCAGGGTTGGTGAGGGACAGAGTGCCACTTGTTGTGGAGGTGGGAACCAGGTTGTTAGCCTGAACAGACAAGCACATCCAATAACAATAATAATAATACTTATATTTTGATATAATATATGTTGCATCAGGGTACGTCTCAAAGCAACTCACAGGATTTACAGTAAAACATAATGACTGTGTACCTTGTGGGCGAACACAGCAGCCAATTTGCACACAGCAATGTTGCATTAACAACCATTAAGTGAATTTCCAATTGTTTTTTGGACAATTGTTGGCCAGAACATTGCTGGCATCATTGTAAGACGTCTCTGGTTAGATATCTACCTGCTATACACTGTATGAGGTGACAACTCTGGTTAGATATCCACCTGCTGTACACTGTATGAGGTGACGTCTCTGGTTAGATATATACCTGGTTGTGCACTGCGTTGAGCTGGTTGTTGAAGGTCATGGTCAGATTGGTGGATGTGCTTGGAGCCACGTGGGTGACGAAAGGCGTCTTACTCTGGCTCACTGTGTCGTACATGTTGACTCGGTTTTTACATATCTCCATGTTTTGAAAGCAAGATTTCACACTGCAAATAAACAGATGAGAGAGAGCTTTTATCTGCCAAATCACTAGTGTAGGAAGCAGAGAAGGATCAATGGCCTGTAAACCCACCTGTGAGACCATTTTATCTTAAACAATCATGAAGAATTATGATCCTAATTTGGAAACCAATTTTCTGCAGTTTTTAAAATTTTTAATCTTATATCATACTTTAGATTTGATATCAAGTCTTATTATGTTGAATCACCCAAGAGCGCTTCACGGGAATTTACTGTGAAAAGCAGTCTTGGAGCACTTAAAGGAACTGTAGCTGGAAGAAAATCACGTACTGGGAGCTGTGTGGAAAGTCCACCAGGTGTGTCATTGTCACAAAGGAGTGGCTCAGTGTCTCAATTGGAGTGATCCTCTTGTCAGCGTCGATGGTCAACATCTTTTTCAGCAAGTCAATAAACTCCCGTCTGTCTGCCTTTTCCGCCAGCATCTCACTCCCTTCCAAATTGGCCGTCATGTTCACCTGCAAAGCAAAGACCATAAACAGACCATGGCTAAGCATCCGGCTTATTTCTCAGCCTGTCTAGTTTGTGTCCAGCACCAGGCACTGCAGTCTCACTCTACCCGAAAGAGCTCACGTTTATCTCTCCTATTTCGGAATGTCTCAGTGTAAAACAGTAACTCCATCAACATTGTCGGTCATATTTATTGTCAACAAATAGAGAGGTGTCACTGATAATCAGAGGGGCTCAAAGCTAATATCAGACTATATCACTAATAGCCAAAACAAAGGGTTTCACTGCTAATATTTATTGATATAGAGTTCTCACTGCTCATATTAAACTATATAGGGGTGTCACTGCTAAAATTAGACTACGTAGAAGTGTCACTTCTCCTAGGTGATGATAGTTAATTTGAGGTGCTTGATGCAGTAGTTTCAGAAGTTAATGACATATTCTGTAGGCAAATGTATTAGGAGTTTCAGCCTGTCAGCGTTAAACCTAGTTCAGACAGTTTTGTAGAGAAGAGTGAGGAGCAGGTAACTGAGAAGCATACCTGCGCCATATCATCCAAACAGTTAAAGATGTACTTTCGTGCTTCCTTCGACTTGATCCCCATCTCTGCCTCGTGATCATCTGGTGTCTGCAATATTCAGAATATAATATGATCCTTGCATTTGATACAGGGCCTTTCACATCGGAAGTACATATCAAAAATCTTCATATATACCAGCGTGGCTGGCAGAGAGAGCAGACAGAGATTAAGAGACAGTTAGAGAGTGGGAGATGGGGAGGTGTGAGAGGGAGAGAGAGAGAGTGTGTGTTTGGGGGTGAGGAAGTGAATGTGAGGGACAGGGGAGAGAAAAAAACAGAGAGAGAGAGGAGGGGGGGAGATTGAGGGAGGATGATTGAGAGAATTTGAGAGGGGATAGACAGAGCATGTTTGGGCGTGAGGGGGCGTGAGAGAGTAACAGAGAAAGAGAGAATGTGTTAGAGAGAGAGTAGGAGAGGGAGGAAGAGAGGGATTGAGAGGAGGAAGGTGGTATGAGGGTGTGAGAAGGGTGAAGTGAGAGAGAGTAATTGAGAGTGTGCGCGATAGAGGGTCTGGAGAGAGGGTGGAGAGGAAATGCCCCCCCTCCCCCTCTTTGTCCCCCCTCTGTCTCCCCCCTCTCTCTCTTCCCCCTCTCTCCCTTCTCCCCCTCTCAATCCCTCTCTCTCCCAATCAGCCGCATGGGTCACTGTCTGCAGCTGCTAAGAGAACATGTTTGCCTTCCTGACAGAATGCAGCAACGGCCGGTATTATTTCCACTCTCTGCGCTGCGTCCTCCCAACCGCTTGCTCCTGCCACTGCTTGATTGGATGACCCTGACATATATACTGCGAAGTTGCATTGGAGGTGAACCCTGCAGCCAATTTACAGACAGCAAGATTCCACAAACAACTGTGAAGTGAATGACCAATTGTATCTGAAACAAAAACAGAAGTCGCTGGAAACACTCAGCAGGTGAGGCAGCATCTACGGGGAAAGGAAAATGAGTCAACGTCCTTTCTCCATAGATCATGTCTGACCTGCTGTGTGTTCCCAGCGACTTTGGTTTTTGTTTCAGATTTCCAGCATCTGCAGTATTTTGCGTTTTGATCAATTGTATCTGTTGACCAGGACACCAGAAGAAATTCCCTTCTCTTTTCCAGTAGGGCCATGGTATCTTTAATGTCCTCTTGAACAGACAGATGGGACCTGGGTTTAATGTGGCTCATCTGAAGGATGGCCTTTCAGACAACACAGCACACTTCCAGCACTCCACAGGAGTGTCGGGCTAGACCTGGGGATTGACCCACAGTCTTCTGACTTGGGAGAGTGCCAACCAACTGAGCCAAACTGATACACATACTGACAAGTGCAGTGACTCTCATTTTCACAAATTATGTCTCACAGACATAGCCAGAGTTGTGTGCTCAAGACGAAATTCCCCCACTTTTCATGAACGAGCAATTGATTGCTGTATTGTTAGAGTGGATGGACAACATGAGAGAAACTAATTTTTCCTCTCAAGTCAGGAATTGCTTTATGTCCGCCTGAACAGGTTTAAGGACAACAATTCTGATAATGTCCGTCCAAGGCTGTGAGCTCAACATGGGGCAGGAACCTACAACCTTCTCGTTCAAGAGGCCAGAGGGATATTGATTGAGCCCGGGTGGTGCCTGATTTATCAAAATGGTTTTAAGGAGCCTTGCTGTTCAACATGGCACACCATAATCATCAAGTCTGCGTGTGTTGAGAGGGGAGACTGAGAAGTGAGAAGCGAGGTCTCTCCAGTGGTTGGTTATGTGTGTTTATCTGTGCTGCACTGGGTGGTGTGTTTCTAACGCGTCATTTAAACTTGGCTTTGGTCCTTTGTTCGATCAGGTGGAATCTGGTTTGGTTAAATAACTTCACTTCAGTGGCTCACTGGCAAATCACCAAAATTCACAAATGAATTTCAGTCAGAAAGTGCAGAGATCTGGACAAAGTCAGACACAAACAGAATCGGTGCTCCTCCCTCATCACATCAGAAGTAATATTCAGTCATTTATGGGTTAAGTTCTGCACAGAAATTGCTGGATTTGAAATGCTTTGGGAAGAATAAATGCAGAAGCCCATGCGGGCCTGTGTGCTGGAGAGGAAAATAGCCCATTGTTGGTAATGTAACGAAAAGCACGTGCAGGTAATCTGCAGAGATGAAAGTCCCGGGAACATGAGGTCATAACACAGCCAGGTGCGAAGGTCCATCAGTGCCAGCCAATAAATGTCACCAAACTGCCACCCATACTTCTCCTACAGTTTCATTGTGAGCATCAGTGTAAGAGTTAGTGAACGTCAGTGTGAGTGTAAGAGTCATTGTGAGTATCATTGTGAGGGTCAGTGTGATTGTCAGTGTGAGGGTCAGTGTGATGGTCCTTGTCAGGGTCAGTATTAGCATCAGTATGAGGGTCAGTGTGAGGGTTAATGTGAGGCTCAGTCTGGGGCTCACCCGCTCTAAACTCCCAATGGCAAGCTAAGCGGTTTCAGCTAGTTAAACTCCAGCAGTTACCCCAACGCACTCTCTGGGTTCTCCAAGCCTTGGCTTTTGCCAACTTGCCTTGGATCATGGCAACCTGCACATAATACTCTCCGAATTAGGTAACAGGGTGCGTCCTGCTGGGGAGAGAATGTGCTCTGCATTCCAGACACGGGGAAATTTCCATGTGTGGGAGGTATACATCTCAGTCTGGTTTGGAGGTTTAGTGATGGGAGCCAGGCATCAGCTGATCAAATGGAGAAGTAGAGGGTACTGACCTTGAGCCTCCACAGTGGATATGATGAGTCGGGATCCCGGTTGAAGAATCGTGTTGTCTTCGCTCCTGCGCTTAATAAATACTCCGCGGGTAATCCCTGTGTCTGTGAAATGTAACGGATCTACAGAAAGAGAGAGAGATGGGTGAGCTAATGCACTGTGTCCATCCAGTTCCATGACCTGATAACCGCACCCACATGGTGCAGACATGCGTGCTGTGACAAAGCTGGAGGTCGCCTTTACACAGGGTGCCCCCGTTTAGATGAAAAGAACTTAAGTCCCCCAAAGCTGGGAGAATGGGCAAATGATCAAGATTTTAGGAGTCAGTCTGATTCAGTCGGAAGCTCTCTTGCCTCTGAGTCAGAAGGTCTAAGATTAACCACCTGTGTGAGAAACAAGTGACTGTGAACCCTGATCTGGATTGTCAGATCACCCCTAACATCAGTTCACATAAGATAACCAATCATAGATCTAATAGAAGGTTTAGCCTGCTCTGAGCTGCCTGTGAACGTCCCAGTTCCCTGATGCTTTACAAAGAATGACTTTCACATCCTCCATAAGAATTTCAGCTTCAACATAGAACAGTCAAAAGAGAGGCTACAGAGTTGCTTGGTACACCGCGGAAGGAAGACAACCTTTTCAAAGTCTTCATAAGTTGTGAAAACAGACTCAGCTTTCTTATCCTCCAACCAAGGCGGGGAAAGGGAGAACAAATCTGCTTTAAAAGGCTTACAGGGAGATATTTGTTCTTTCACCTCAGCTGCCTTCAATGTTCGTCTCTGGAAGTCCCTCAGGACAAAGACTTCACTTATACGCAGCGCTCTTAAATAAATGAGGACTTTTTTTTTTGCTAGGAACTGTGCCTGAATGATAATAATCCTTATATTTGTTATAGAGTGTTTCATGTCGGAAGGACATTTCAAAACGCTTCAAATATGCTATGAAGTGTGGTGACTGGATTTTGTAGTCAATTTGTGCATAGCACCATCCCACAAACAGCCATGAAATGAAAGATCAATTTTATTTGGGGGATTGGTGGTCAGGACACCAGGAGAGGGAAACTTCCTCTCATCTAGTCATTTCTCAAGCTATCAGCAGAATGCTTTAAAGTGAGCTTTGAGTGGAGACAAACCGTGACAAATGGTAATCACGCCCACCCTGAAAAAACCCTCCCTTGATGCGTCGCAGCTATCAAGCTACCGGCCCATCTCCAACCTCCCCTTTCTCTCCAAGGTCTTGGAAAGAGTTGTCGCCTCCCAACTGCGCTCTTTCCTCTCCACCCATTCTCTTTTTGAACCCCTTCAGTCAGGTTTCCGTGCTGCTCATAGCACAGAAACTGCCCTGGTCAAGGTCACCAATGATATCCTGACTATCTGTGACCAGGGCTCCCTCTGTCTCCTCGTCCTCCTCGACCTATCGGCAGCATTCGATACGGTCGACCACGCTATCCTACTCCACCGCTTGTCCTCCCACCTCAACCTTCAAGGCACTGTCCTTGAATGGTTTAGCTCTTACCTTTCCCACCGTCTTCACTTCGTCTCAACGAATGGCTTCTCCTCCACCCCCCGTACTGTCTCATGTGGTGTCCCTCAGGGCTCTGTCCTCGGTCCCCTCCTCTTCACCCTCTATATGCTCCCCCTTGGTGACATCATCCGCAAACATGGGGTTAACTTCCACATGTATGCGGATGACACCCAACTCTACCTTTCCTCCTCTACTCTCAACTCCACGACCACCGATGTCCTGACAGCCTGCCTGTCCGACATCGAGTCCTGGACGAGAGACAACTTTCTTCAGCTCAACGTGCAAAAAACCGAGGCCCTCCTGATTGGCTCACGTCAGCGCCTCCGCACCTCAGGCGCTGACACCATCAGCATCCAAGGCTGCACTCTCCACCTCTCAAAGCCAGTCAGGAACCTCGGCGTTTTGTTCGACCCTGAGCTGTCCTTTCTCCCTCACATCCGCACCACAACTGGCACCGCCTTCCATCACCTCCGGAATATCGCCAGATTACGGCACTACCTCACCCCTCACGCTGCTGAAACCCTGGTTCACGCCTTTGTCACCTCAAGGCTGGACTATGGGAACTCTCTCCTCGCCGGCCTTCCCGGCACCTCCCTCCACAAGCTGCAGGTCATTCAGAACTCTGCAGCTCGTGTACTGTCCCGCACCAGGCTTCGGGACCACATCACTCCTACCCTCGCTCGCCTCCACTGGCTCCCCATCCCCCAGAGGATTGATTTCAAGATCCTCATCCTCACCTACAAGGCCATTCACGGCCTTGCTCCCTCCTACCTCTCCAACCTACTATCCCCCTACCTACCTGCCCGTACCCTCCGTTCCTCTGGCTCCGGTCTGCTCCACGTCCCCCGCCCCAACCGCCCTACTATCGGTGGTCGGGCCTTCAGCCTCTCAGCCCCGAGGCTCTGGAACTCCATCCCCCAGTGCCTTCGCCTTGCTTCCTCCCTTTCCTCCTTCAAGGCCGGTCTCAAAACCTTTCTCTTTGACCGTGCCTTCAGCTCCCCTCTCGACTCTCTTCCTCCTCCTCGCTCCCTCCCTTCCCTCCCCTCACCCTGACCATTTCCCCCCTCCTCTCTCCCTCCCTTCCCTCCCCTCACCCTGACCATTTCCCCCCTGCTCGGGTCATGACCCAACTGTGCAGCGCCTTGGGACGTCCTCCTGACGTGAAAGGCGCTCTATAAATGGAATCTTGTTGTTGTTGTTGTTGTTGTAATATACACTTTGTCCCCACGGGAGAGAGTGTGCTGCCAACTGAGCCAGGGATGAGGAGGTAGAGCTGACAGCAAGTACCTACTCGGCTAAAGTGTGGTGTCTAGGAGGCCTTCTGCAATTCTCTGGAGGCTAGCAGCAAGCAATATAAAATACAAAGTCTCTTGAATGTTATGAGAAATGTCAGGAGGATGCTGAGGGGAGGTAAGTTGGGTCTCAAAGCAACTGATCTGGTTCTGAGGTGACCTACTTGGCCACAGAATGATGGAGTCTGTTGTCCTTTGTGGCGGTCTTGGTAGCCCAATTCCTGACCACGGTAGGTCCTCTGTGACAGTCAGCCTGGCTTATCAGTAGGACTTGGATGGGCAGACCAGTTACAGAAGATAGGCTTTCTTCTCACTCAGCTCCTGTTAACCCTGAAAGCCAAAGCCCTAACTGGTAGTGTATTATCTGGATAAGCAGTGAGAAGCTTGCCAGGCAGTGCTCTGAATGGCAAGCTATGCTGTTTTAGCTGGTTAAACCACAGCAGTATCTGAACATTAAGATCGAGGATCAAAATGAGATACGGGCTTCTGTTTTGAATGACTCCTTGGATAGCTCAGCACAAGTAGCCTCTTGCAGCATGACTTCTGTCTTTCCCACCACAACTACCATCTTACTCTCTTACTGCTCATTCATTAAAAGCCTGGCTCAGTTGATACCACACTATCCTCTGAATCAGAAGGTTGTAGGTTCAAGCCCCACATGGTAACTGAGCTGACATTCTAGGCTGACACTGCAGTGCTATGGAGAGTGCCGCTTTTGATGAACAGTCTTTTGGATGAGATGTTAAACTGAGAAAATACTGTGAAGCGCTTTAAAACATTTTCCCTTATTAGGATTATTATTATAAAAGCTCAGACCTGCGAACCTGGACAGATCGAAGCTCTTCATTTAACTGGTTGCCATTTCCATTTACCTGTACATTTAAAAGCATGGTTCGCCCATTTGTACTCTCGCCTCTGAGTCAGTGTTGTGGGTTCAAGCCCGATGCCGAGGCATTAAGCTTAATTTCAGACTGACACTCCAACCCAATGCTGTACTGTAGGTGACAGCTAATGTTGTCTTGTACTTATTCGAGTTGCTCTCTCTCAGCTGCCAAAGAGCTACACAAAGTTGCTTCTATCCATCTCATCTGCTCTACGTCTCTGACCTCACTATTCTCTCTCCCTTGCTTGGTTTGTATGGCCCTGCTGAGCTGTATCCTATATCCTGCTGCTCTTCCCCACCACCTCCTGCAGCAGGGGGAAGCAAAGTGGGGGCATTTACTCTAAATCCAGCACCTCAGCCTCCACAAGCATTGTCCCCAAGGAGGGGCTGAGCAAGTCTCCGTGGGAACCTTGTAAGTCTTGCCTGGTTCCGACACACCAACTGCTGCTAGGGAGTGAAAGGTAGCAATGTTGGAGAAAGTGCGACGAGATAAATAGAGAGAAAATAAGAGCAATACAGAGAGGGAGAGAATGGGAGAAACAGAGAGAAGGAGAGAGACGAGAGGGACAGAATGAGAGATACAAGAGAGACAGAGAGGGAAAACTGTTAGACAGCAATGGAGAGACTGAAAGAGTAGTAGCAGAGACATCGATAGATGGAGAGACCGACAAACAGAAAGAGACAGACAGTGAAAGAGAAGACGGATAGAGAGGAGAGACAGATGGAAAAGGATAAGCGAGCGCTCTCGGAGACTAGGGCTCAGTTATACACCAGTTGTACACCACTAGGAACTGCTTCGTCACTGAGGTCAGGATAACAGTTTGGGAATTGAGAAGAATGTGGGACGAGTTCCTGAAAGTGGGAAAGTAAGAAAGTGAACAAATAACCAGCTTTAAAAATGGGCTCTGATCACAAGGTGTGATTGGGCCAGTGGTGCTGGATTGGAGCATGACTTACCTGATCATACTCCGAGGCCCCAGGATACAGAGGCCAGCCCAAAAACAGCTCAGCAATGACACAACCCAGGGACCACATGTCGATGGCTTCACAGAACGGTAACCCCAGGATGATCTCTGGTGCTCTGTAAAAGGGCAACAATAACAGGGTTTCCTTCTTAGACAGGAGCTGTTCATATCGAAGCTTTCATAAAGATCCTCCCAGTGAGTGACATTGAAATGCAATGGATTCTTTGCTGGCAAATGCAGCAGTAAATGTAGGTCAGTAATATCCCTCAAACACCAAACAAGTTAATAAAGCCCTCTAGGATGAATATCAATAATAAGCTTTATAATCCGCTCTCAGCAAAGAAGGAAGCTTTTCCCAATGTCGTGGCCAACATAAAATTGGTCACTCACTTCAAGGCTATTTGTGGGACATTGCTGTGTGTGAATGGATTGCTGCTTTCGCCTACAATAGACACAGTCACAACACTTTACAAACAAGCTTGTGATGCATTTGAGAGGCTCTCCTGCCATGAAAGGCAAATCACTCCCCTATAAACGGCCTGATCTGTGCTGTTACATTCATTACTGACCGTAGTATCATTCTGTGAGGTGCCCGGCAGTGAAAGAGGGCGTCTGTCAGAAATAGATTGATCAGCAGTGAGCTAAGAACAGCAAGCTGGGAAAAGATTGGCTGATATCAGCACCTCGGGTCCCCTCGCTTTAACTGTGTCATCATGTCACCAGAAGATTTCATCAATACTCCCTTTTATAGATTTACCATCTGCACCACACATCGATCTGGGGCCCAGGTCTGGGCAGGCTTTGAGATGAGGCCTTCACAAGCCTGTGGTCCCTTGGTGTATGCTAGACTTCAGATGAGACATCTGTCTGTTCAAGTGGACATTAAATATCCCATGGCGCTGATGGAAAACAAAAGGGACAATCTTCCAGAAAAAAATTCCTCAATGCTATTTGTGGATGTTGCTGTACACAAATTAGCTGCTGCATTTGCTTACAAAAATACACAGTCACTAAACTTAACAGTCACAAGTTTAACATTACAGGCATAGCTTTAAATGGCAAGGATCATTATCATGATTTAATCAGATCTTGTAACTTCTGTTTCTGACACCTGCTTTTTGTAACCTGTTTAATGGAGTACTGGGCTCCTCCGCGGCTGCAGAGAATTTGCACGCATTCACTTTGGGGACCGCTGGCTTTCCCACTCCTCTCCACCCCGTCCCCCCAGTCTGTGGTGTGAGGCTCCAATTCCCATTCATCAGCAATGTGGCTGAATTGATAGTACTTCTGCTTCTGAGTCAGAAGGTTCAAGCCCCATGTCAGGAACTTCAATCCATACAGTCTAGGCTGACGGTCCAATGCAATGCTGGAGGTAAGATACTGTACTGTCAGATGCCATCCTTCTGATGAGATGTTAAAACCGTCTGCCTGTCAAGTGGAAATTAAAGATCACACGGAAAAATTCAAAATGGGAACGGAGTTTCTCCCAGTGTCCTGGCCAACAATCCCCCAGATAAAATTGTTTACTCAATTCATGGCTGTTTATGGGACATTACTGTACACACAAATTGGTTGTTGCATTTTGACTATATTTTACAGTAAGATTCTGTGAAGCATTTTGAGATGTCTTGATGTTATACTCCACTATACTAAATAAGAACATAAGAACATAAGAATTAGGAGCAGGAGTAGGCCATTCGGCCCCTCGAGCCTGCCCCGCCATTTGATAAGATCATGCTTGATCTTCAGACCTAACTCTAATTACCTGCCCTATCCCTATGTCCCCCAATCCCTCTATTTTTTAAAAATCTATCAGTCTCAGCCTTGAAAATGTTCAAGGACTGAGCATCTACAGCCACTGGGGTAGTGATTTCCATAAGTTCACTACCCTCTAAGAGAAGAAATGTTTCCTCAACTGTGTTATAAAAGGCTGACCCTTAATTTTAAGACTGTGACCCCTGGTTATAGATTCTCCTACCAGGGGAAACCATCCCTCAGGGTCTACTTTATCCAGCCCTTTAAGAATCTTATGTGTTTAAATAAGATTTCCCTTCATTCTTCTGTACTCTAGAGAATACAGCCCTAGTTTATTCAGCCTATCCTCATAGGTCAGTTCCCTCATCCTAGGAACTAACCGAGTGAATCTATGCTGCACCCCCTCTAGGGCAAGTATGTCCTTTTTTAAATAAGGAGACCAAATCTGCACACAATACTCCAGGTGCGGTCTCACCAAGGCCCTATACAGTTGCAGCAAGACTTCCCTACTCTTGTACTCTAAACCTTTTGCAATGAACACTAACATGCCGTTCGCCTTCTTAGTTGCTTGCTGCACCTGCAAACTAACTTTTTGAGACTGGTGTACAAGGACACCCAAATCCCTCTGAACACTAACACGATCTAATCTCTCCCCCTCTAGAAAATAATCTGTTTTTCTATTTTTGCAACCTAGGTGAATAACTTCACACTTCCCCACATTAAATTCCATCTGGCACCTACTCGCCCACTCCCCGAGCCTATTTATATCCCGTTGCAATGTTTTTGCATCATCCTCAGAGCTTACTCTCCCACCTAGTTTAGTGTCATCCACAAATTTAAATACGATGTAAAGGGTTATGATGTAAGGGTTTAGATGTGCTGCGTAAAATTATAAATTTTTACACAATTCTGCACGATCTAATATTTTAAAACAAAACAGTCTCGCGGCTAAAACTGCCTGGAATTTCAGTCCTTGGGAAGCAAAAAGTGACTTGCATCAGAATACACTGTAATGAGCAAAACTCCACACAGCGCAGTCCCTTTCTCTGTGCCTCAAGTTACAGAGGAATCTGCAATTTATCATTCTCTTCATGCCTGGTGCGAGTTAGCTTCAGTAGATTTTACGACACAGTTCACACGCACAAGATTGCCAATTGCGCAGCTTACCATGCCTGGTAAATGGATCCCACTGCAAAAAGAGGTTTTCCATCATCCGGTAATTTGAGCTCCTGTACTCCCGGTCACTCACATTCTGCTGCTCGGTCAAAGGGCAGTGACTCCCAGGGAGAAAACCTCCACACTTCCCAATCCCTCTGCTCTTCTCAGACCTCCCTACTCTGCTCCAAATACTAAATACTCTGGAATCCTTTCAGAAATGTGTCGATCAACAGCACTGAGGTGCTTTCCATGGCCTTAAATTCCATCTAGCCTGAGCCTAGGAGATGCTGCTGTTTTCAAAAATTGTGGAAAATTCTTCAATTCAGTCTTAATTTGTGTTAAGGACTGCAGCTCCCAAAAAGGGGGAAAATCTGTTGCCTTTAAAAACCTACAAAGAAGGGAATAGATGGGGTAGTAGGTGATGGGAGTAGTAGGGGTGGTGCTCGTGTGGAGCTTGAACAACTGGACCAATCACTGGGCGGCGCTTTAATGTCCCGTGGAATTCTATGTACTCAACGATTTACAAACAGCTGTTTGTCTTGACATTCTTCAGGGAGGGGTTGTGGGGGGAAGGGGGTCGAAGCTGTATGATTCGTGTGGGGCAATTGGGATGCCACTTGAGGAGTTTCCAATGTTGACCTGGAGCTTGATGGACCAGATCAGCTGACCCTCTCCGGAGTCAGGATTGAAAATGAAATCAGTTGAGTTTAGATTCCCAGACGTCATCCTAAGTGCTCTGGTACTTGCTGTGTACAATTCTGGTCACTGTGACATAAGGGGGCTGTGCAGGCCTTATAGAGTTAGTGTAGAGGAGAGCAATGAGGATGATTCCCAGTGTTAGAGGAGTGAGCTGTGAGCAATGAGGGCTCTTCAGTCTTAACAGAAGACAACTTAGCAGGGACCTTATGTGTAACATTTAAATGGGATTGAAAAAGTAAATCCTGAACAATATTTTAGCATGTACCAAGACAGGAGAACAAGAAGATAAGACAATAACAAATTGCATTTATATAGCATCTTTCATATCAGGCGGATGTCTCAAGGTGCTGGATAGTCAAGGGTGGCTCCCGAGCTGGGGGTTCAAATAAGAACAGGTGGAGGATAAGAGGGGTGACGGTGGGAGGATGACTGAAGGCATGGTCGAGGACGAAGGTCTTGAGACAGGCCTTGAAAAGAGGTAAGCGAAGGGGCAAGGCAGACGGGCAGAGCGGGGTATAGGTATAGGCTTGTGCCTGCTGAGCAGAGGAAGTGAACAGGTTGGTAAAGCTTTAGCAGATCACAGACATAGGGAGGGGCAAGACCGTGGAGGGCTTTAAAAGTGAGGACAAGGTTCTGTGGATTGGATTTGTGCCAGTGGCACGCACCTATGACTTGAGGGAGCGGAGCTGGCTGGTGTAGCAGGGGGATGTGCGGAAATAGCAAGCAGTGTGGGGGCAAGGGTGTCAAGGATAACAGAGCTAGAGTTGTGGAGGAGAGTACCGAGAAGCTAAGTTTGTTTTGGAAGGAGACCCAGAGGGGCAGGAGGTTCAGATGACTCTAGGGCAGCGGAGAGGGAGTCAGAGAGGGGAATTTTTTTCCAGGGGCGGTAGGAGATGAAGGAATTAAGGGAGATGAAATAATGGTCCGAGATAGGCTTTATTGATGATGCTGATGTCCAAGACGGTGAGGCCCCAGGTCGCAGGGTCACCATGGATGTGAGTGGGGTAGGTAATATGGAGGGAGAGGTTGGGGAGGGTGCCAAGGAGAGCAGTGCCAAGAGTGATGGGGACTGGGGCTGGAAACAGAGTAAATAATACAAAAAGCAACAATACAATTGAGGACACGAGTTTAGAGTTGAAAAGGACAATTGTAGGCCAAATACCAAGAAGTTTTTCTTTACCCAGAGGGTAATTAACAACTGGAACAGCTAGCAGGAAGTGTGGTTGAGCCCAGGACACTGAACTCATTTACAAGATAGTTTGATGCTGTGATGGGGGGAACGGGTGTTCTTGAGGGATGAGATCAGAATGGCTGAAGAGCCTTCTTCATCCAAACCAATCAACGTCGAGATGCTCACTGGTAATATCAGGCTATATAAAGGTACTTGCTGTTAATATAAGATTGATCTTGGAAAAAAGCCAACTCCCCAGCGCAATGGGTTCATTTTAACGGACAGATCTAAATGCCTTGACTTAGGTTCATAAAAACAATGCAACTCTGAGCA